ATAGATAGATAGATAGATAGATAGATAGATAGATAGATAGATAGATAAAAATGGTTGACGAAAAAGAAAGTCTTTCAAACTCACAATACACCATGATCCTTCACTCTCAAAATATATGCTAAGTAAGAAGAAATTAAAGTTTTAAGGTCTCACAGGGGAGGCCCCATCCAGTCACTTGCCATTCACCCTGCCATCTGCCCGAAGAGCATCCGACAACCCCTGCCTTCTCAGGGCTCCACCAGCCAGCCGTCTGCATTGCCTCTCGGCTAGTTTTGTTTCTATCGGTGACTACCCTGAAAGCTTGCAATCTGCATCAAAGGCTTAATGAAGCCTTTGAAGAGCTGAGCCATAGGTTTTCAGACAACATTCACATGAAAAAAAAAAAAGCATTTGATGTCATCACACCCATATCTGTGAAAGGATTGTAATATGATTCAGTTACGGAATAAAGGCAGCTTACTGCTCCCCAAGGGCCTGTTCTCCATTGGTCTCCTCTGCTTGACAGGTGGACCCCCCGATTTTGATTCTCTTCCGGCTTGTGAGTTAGTGGAACATTTCTGCCCGGAATATGGCTTGGCTGCTCAGAGGAGCTGGGGAAATGGCTGTATGAGGGCGGGCAGGCTGCCAGGCGACACTCTTGCTCAGTCACAGGACGGACTTCGGGATCACAGAAACCCTCATCAACCAGTTGGTGGTAGTTCATGCATAAAACGCGCCGAGTGGTTTTCCCACGTCCGCAGGAGGCCGAACACTGATCAGAAAGTTACAATGGAACACACTGCATCAGCATCAAACAGCATACTTGACTTTTCAGCGCCTGCGCTCTCATTAAGCATACTGACCGGTGACCAATTCCCCGCCTGCCATTCTCCACAAGGGCTGAAGCAGAGAGACACTTCAGGAGGCCGAGGCAAGTGGGCGCAGTGTGACTCGTCTGCTACCCCGTCATGGGCATCACGGCAGCTCACGTAACGGGCCTGACTGCCTCTTCCACAGGACGCAGAGCACTTTAAAAAGCCAAATGATTTGGGTGAGATGGGTCCAGTACCGGCCCCACTCTTGCTACCTGTAGCTGCTATGTCAAAAAATACATAACAGAGAAGTGAGATCAACTGGCATCATTTCTGAGCCAAATATAGATAAGGTGATGAAATTCCCCACTTCGGGTAATTTCATAAATCAGATCTAATAATCTGAACGAGCATAATTATTTTAAACATTTAGTCACTTGTTGGAATTAAAGGTACTGAAAACATTTTGTGTAAGAGCATCTTCAGATACTAAAATAACCTTAAAAGAATTTGTAACAGAAGGCATCTCATCCCAGAATTTAAAATCTGGGGTTAAAGCAAACTAAAATGCCTACTACCTTTCAATTAAAAAAAAAAAAAATCCAAACAGCACGAAAATGTCTGTAGTTGAGACAGAAGCTGATAAATGTCTAGTGGCATGCCTGCTGCTCATGGCTATCATTAGAAAATACATCCTAAAGATTTGGTTCCCTATACAGAGTCCTGGGAACTGATTCTAAGTCCTGCAAATCTTCTGCACCATCAAACATCTGAGAAGGAATGCACACACCAAAGCTGGCAAAACTGAGCAACTGTTTTCCATGTGTGAAGCCTCCACGGTAGAAATGTTGTGCCACTTACTTGGGTCCAAGATCCATGGCGCCACTGGGCTGCCTTTCCCAGGGGAATGGCTGGTATGGAGGTGGCCCCAACTTTTGGAATAACCAGGCAGGGTGCAAATACGCAGTCCTAGTCAATAAAAGCAGACTTTATTGAATACCGCCTAACTACTCGCACTGACTTGTATTAGATTCTGTTCTTGCCTTCCCTCTTCACACGTAGAACCCAACAACACTGCGTTATAAACTGTAAATGATGATCTAAAGATTCCCACTTTCAGGGATCCCAACTGCTGGCAAGGGCTAGTACTGGGTAGGAAGGGAATATTAGAACTGAGAACAAAGAAAGTGACAGTATGGGACAGGAAGAAAATGCTAGTACTGACTAGGAAGGCTGCATCCCAATGTTTCTGCTGCCATTCCATATGACCATCCCTAATATAGAACATTCTGAAGACCTATAGGGCTGTACCATGAAAAGAATCCTTCCTGAGGTCATGGGATTCTCAATCACAGACACTACCAAAAAAAAAATGGGAATATACAAGCTAAATGAATACTTCTAAAGCAGATAGAGAGGAGACTTACAATAAATGTGAAGATGGCAAAACGAAAAATGACACATTCTGTATTTCGGGAAGCAATTTAAGGTGTAGATGATAAGGATATATATATATATATACACACACATATGATTTGTGCTCATCGATAACCCTTCCATTTTGTAAGTATTTCTGCTTCAAGAGGCCCCCTTTACCTGTCTGTCACTTGGCCGGCTGGCTCCCTGGCATTCTCTGTCATCTAGCACGGTGCCATGTAGCTCACTGACACACTTAACAGCACGCATCTGATGCCCATGTCCACAGGTGGCTGTGCACTGAAAGGAAACCACAGCTGCCCAAACCACAGTTTTCAAGGGTTACGTACATTCCTACTTTCTTCGTGAACACAGTTACACAGGGCTAACCGCATACTTTCAGTAGATGTCTTGACTAGCCCTGTGGTGGCAGATTTGAGACCTGTAATCGGTAAATTGAACTGACATGCCTGTTTGTCCAAATTAATTGTGCAGATATTACCTAAGCACCGCAGCTAACCAGATGCACTATGACTTGTTAGACCCCCGGCAAGGCAGCATTGTTATGGTGTATTTAAAAATGGCATGCACAACAGATCTAGTGTGAAGAGATTTACTGTACAGAGGTGGAGGGAGACAGTGGGAGAGAGTAGGAGAAGAGAGTAAAGGGGATGGATAGGGTTCCTCAAGAGAGACAGTCAGAGAGGGGGAGAGACACTGAGGCAGAGAGAAGAGGAGGAGAGACAAGTAAGAGATGGGTGGTCCTTTTATCCTAAGGCCTTTGGCAGCAGTGACAAACGATGATATCTAGGTTGCTAAGCAACCTAGAGTCAGGCTAGTGTATGACTTGTAAACTCAGTCAGGCTAAGATGTTAATAGAGACCTGCTATTCTGGTTGAAGACACAACACCACCATTTTGGCAACAAAAAGTTCCTTATCCAAATATATATATATATATATATATATATATATGTATATGTATTTGGTTAGAAAAATGAGAGGAACCTTCCATCAGACACAGCAGGCTCCATGGGACACTGAACTTCCCACCTTCACCTGGCCTGACCATCCTTCCCCCCAGGGCCTCCCAGCAAGACTCCTAAACACAGGAAGAGAAATGTAAGCACAGATACCGGACATACTTATACACTGTAGAAGCTGATGCAAGCAAATGTCCTCAGCATTTTGGTTAAAGTACATTAAAAAACAAAGCTGAAGTATTAAGCATGACAAACCTATCAGCACTGTCAAAATTCTACAGATAAGGGTCTGTATTTCAGATATGCATTTTTCTATTATTATTAGTAGTAGTAATAGCGTGTGTGTGTGTACAAATATATGATGTGGGTATCAGATAGCTCTGTAGAGCCAGTTTTCCCCTCTCGCTTTTATGAACATTTCAGAGATCAAACTCAGAACATCAGGCTTTTGTAGCGAGTGCCTTTACCCACTGAGCCTTTGTGCTAGCTCCTAAGGTGCATTTGTAGTGATACCAGCCCGTATCTCACTGAATCTCTCGAGGAAAGAGTGGATTGTTGCAGTTTTCCAGCCATTCTCTGTACAGATGGGTAGAGGCAGGGAAGGCCTGTCATATACTCACAGAGCCCCACGGTCCCACGTGCCAAGAAGCACAGGCTGGGAGCTCACAGGGACTCAGCGACTCGGGCTTGGTGCTGGCATTGCAGAAGCCATCAGTCATGTGGTCTTCACTCAGCTGACACCAAACCTGCCGCTGCTTCATCCCTTCTCCACATGTGACAGGACACTGGAAAGTTGACAGAGCCGCATCACAAAGTGACACGAAGATCCCGTGTCCCCCTACCCCTCTAGGGACATTCACTGGGTGAAACCAGCCACCCTAACATCTGCCACCCAGGCCCCACCGCTTCTAGAAACAAAGACTCAAAGCTAACCTTTGACAAAGACTGATGCGACAGTATTAATGCGTTTTTATGAAGGTGGTTATAGACTAAATATCAGTAAATGTTGCCCTGACATTACAGTTTTTCTAGGCCATGTGTTTACTGTTACCTCACTCCACTCACTAGTTGCCCAACTGGGACAAGGAAACTCATTGCAGTCCCCAAGCGTCACCCGAGGAAGCTCCTGACACTGCTGCTCAGAAAGGCGGCGGCCGAAGCCATCTACACAGTAGGCCTCTCGAGTCTTCTCCCCTCCTCCACAACTCCTAGAACACTGGAAACAAAGCAAAACAAAAGCCAGTGGCTCTCAGAAATAGAAAAAAAAAAAAAAAAACTCAAATTTTTAACAAGAACCTATTTTAGAGAAACAGAAACGTTTAATTAGTGAAAGGGGTAGGCATTTTCCGTAAGAGACAATTTCTATTTTACCTGGGACCACTCTGAATACTGCCACCTTGTCACAACACAACTGCCATGGCATGGCTCTCGGGTAGGAGGTTTGAGCTGGTCACCACAGAAGTGATCGTCCACTGGGACCGTCTGTCCTCTATGAATGGAGTACTTCATGCAGTGGGCGTCGAGGGTCCTGTGTCCTTGGCCACACTGGGATGAGCAGTCGCTTTTGCCGGTGACGTACCACCTAGAGAGACGTCACTGTACGTAAGAGCCATGCTAATGAATGATGGTTTAGAATAGATCCAGAGGCTTAGGCTTAAACTTTTTAAGAGTCGTTGGACAATCCATTAGAAATCATTTGATAACTCACTGAATTAGGGATGAAAATTCTTGCGCTGGACCTTGTTGTTGTCGTCTGAAGGAGGGTTGGCCTCCCACTGACTGCCAGACTGCTGGCCATGAGCCTCCAACCAGGGGCAAGGAACCTTCCCCCGGGATGCCAGGAGCCTGGCTCAGCAAGCTGAAGTGAGGATCTTGAAGAGAAACTTCCTTTTCTCTTATCATTCAGCACAAAGCCAAAAGGCTGACTATAAGCTGTGAAGGTTGCTTTCTTTTAGCAAAAACTCAGATCCCTCCTTCAGCTCTGCAACGGTTTAAATAAAATTATATTGAACTCAGCGTCCCTGCTGAGGTTACCAAGTTCAGTACTGCAAATAGGTATCTTGGAATATAATTATTTTCATAACAAGCTGGCTTGTTTTGCACCTGGGAGGTCAAGACAGGGGCATTGTAAGTTTAAGGATAGCCTGGGCTATGTAGTGAGACAGTGCCTCAAAAAAAAAAAAAAAAAAAGGTGTTTTTGTGTTGTTGGCTTTGTTTATTTTTAGTTTTAGTTTTGTTTTGTTTTGCTGTGGCCCAAGTCTGTTGTTACCAAGTGTGGTTAAGTAGAGTTCCATATGATCTGGAAGCCACCGGAAGATGCTGCCTAGTCTAAATATGTAAGAGGAGAGTGTGTCAAAGTGTGTATTTGCTGGTTTGCAGTGATATGTGTTACTTCAGGGTGGCAGCTCAGCCCTGAGTGATGGGGTTCTGTCCAGCATGGTCCTTCCAGGGCTGGGAAAACAGGTTGAGATGAGCTGACTGGGACCAGAAAAAAAAAAATTGACCTCAGGATGTGTTTTCAGATGTAATCAGCTTATGAATAGCCTTTCTCTATGTATTGATAAGAAGTGCACAGAAAAATGATTAAAGAAAATCTGTTTAGGGTTCATAAGCAGCATTTTGGAAAAATACAGGAGTTTAGAAAAATAAGTATATCATCAATGAATTAAAATTTGTTTTATGAAAAACAAAAGACGTTCTTGTATTGGAAAATGAGGCTCAAATGGACTGGGTTCCAATGGTTTAAATGTGGTATGTGTGTGTTGTGTGTGTGTTGTGTGTGTGTGTGTGTGATTTTACCATCTTCCAAAAGAAATCTTAGTTGTTCTAAAAATACATAAAATAACTATGCATATTGGTCTGACCCTTAACAGTTGGTAGCATCTCTAGAGGTGTGCCCTAGAACCGCAAGTTTCCTTGGCAGCATCTGGCTATGATCAAGATTAGCACTCGTGGTAGAGTTATGACTCCATGAGATACAAGGACTCCCAGTCAGACTGTCTCCTCTGCAAACCCCACACCAAACTTTGGAATATGAACAGGGGACCTCTGGGAATCTTACCAGAGCCTGTAAGGGTCTTGCCTTTGAAAGGTGGCAAAATACTTTTCTTGTGAAGTGTATCACAACCTCTAGTTAATTCATTTATTCTCTATTTAGAAATATTTGTAAAAAAAACCAAACAAACAAACATTGCTCATTAAGTAAAAATAGTAATTTTAGCAAAATTATCCCAGTTGTAGCCTAGCAATGTATCGAGCAGTATGACAAAGCATGGGGTTGAGACCTCATTTCTCTAAAGGACTCCACTGTGCTCCGCGCAACCTCACTAGCCATTTCTACCAGGCTTCTCTCACGTCCTTTCACAGGGCACCACGGTTTATGTAAGTGCCAACTCTTCATGGATGAAAGAGAGGTTTTGATGTCTCTGAACATTAACTGTCCGCAGTGTAATTTCTTCAACTGGTGTGTGAAGCCATCGAGTTTTAGTTTCTACCACAGTATATCTAAATGCTCACTCTTCGTGGATGAAGGAGAGGGTTATGCTATCTCTGAACATTAACTGTCCACAGTGTAGTTTCTTTAACTGGAGTGTGAAGCCACTGGGTTTCTATTATGTAGGAGTCTATTAACCAACCACACACATATGGGCATACTCACTCGCACACAAACAACTAAGAAATTCAGAATTTGTGATAGAAGTCTCAATTTGCTTGCCCTTCCTTTAGGCATTATTAATATATTAATATTTATTGGGTCCTAATTTCAGTTGGATTATAGAATTATGCAACATGGACCTGCTATTTCAAATCTTTAAACCATGGATTTGCAGATTAGAGTTTATCCGAGCTTATTTTACGGAACAAATTGCTTCTGTTTGGTACACAAAAGCTGACTGATATTTAGCTAATATTATCAAGTCAAAAGTCAAATGAATTACTGGGCATGTGCACGAATTGGTGAGCCCGAGTGCTCTAAGTGACAAGGCTGAGGGCAGGCATCAGCTAGTTGCTGGCTCCTCTCAAGGCACTGCGCCGAATTCCTTATCTAGCCATCGCCTTCATTATTCCCTGATTATATCACAGGTGACTGCTCTCTTACCTGAGTTCACAATCTGTATTGCACTTTTCAGTCACAAACAGCGGCATCGCTAAGTGGGCACAACTTTGATCAGATACAACTGCGTGGTCACTCTTACGTACGCAGGCAATCTTTCTTCTACGAAGACCTTGGCGAGAGTGAAATGAAAATTAAAAATTAAAGAAAATGTGTATGAATGAATGGGTGATAATAAGGGTTAGCCTAAACAACTCAGCTAGATTTCGATAATACTCCGCTAGTACATTAGTCTTGTCAGGAGTTACTTTTTCTAAGCTGAGTCCTCAGTGACTGGGGAGGAGGCCAAAAGGAAGATGGGTCAGGTATGGAGTAAAAACTACTCATCTCTGCAACAGCAGGGTTGGCAGGTAGGGCTGGGGCCAGCATGGAAGGCATGTCTCCACCAGATCAGCAGATTACTTTCTAATAGGTAGTTAACGGTGTTAATGTGACTTCCATGTCAGGTGCTTAGCCTGCTGTTTTGCTCTGCCTTCAGAATCACACTATCCCTGTAGGGCGGGCCTTTCAGACAGGCCTCCTGAGTGATGACGGTAACGACAAGTAACACAAAGATTAGTGGTTCCACAGGTCGTGGAGGACTGAATGGAAAGGTGAGGCCCAGGGGTAGGGAGGGGCTGTGGAACTCCTCGGCGTGACACCGGATTGTGGAAACACGGCACCATTCGTTTGTCCAAACCCACAGAATGCACAGCAGGACAGACGAACTCCAGCGTAAACGACAGGCCTCATCGGTCATCAAGAATCAGAACTGGCCTGATACAGTCATACACAGTGGTAGAGAGAAAGACAGAGGGGCAGGGCTGGAAGGCAGGACTAGTCTGTGCTTCTGGACTTCCGCTGTTTGCTAGGACCAACGCCGCTCTACAATCAAGGTCCGCTCTGTTTCCAGGGCAGGGATGGAGATCTCAGCTACTCAGAGAAAGACATGGCAATGAACCCCGAGGCATCGTCTCATCAACGGTGGCCTCGGCTCACTGCATGGGTACTGGGCAGCTGTTGCTCCAGGGGCCCGAGAGCGCTCAAAGCAAACGAGCGCCCAGGAGAGGACAGAGCGCCCTGACTCTACCTACGTCCTCCGGAGTCGAAGCACGCACGAACTGACATGATCGGATTTCTGTTTTGTGACCGCTCAACTTTGTACTCCCACTAACTAAACACGAGCGTGTGTTTATCTCGGGCCTATTCCTAAGCCCTCTTTAAAATAAATGTAAATAATTTTGCAAAGGCATCTACGTAAAGGCGCAAAAGAAAATAAAGGAAACGAAACAGACGAGAAGAGAAAACTGAGAAGATGAAAAGCGAATGGTAAATACTATTCAGAGAGCCAAGGCGGATGAAGCCCAACCTTGTGAAAACATGGGATAGGTATGAAAAACAAAGAAAGGATTAAAAATCATATTTGAAGGAAAGTTAAACTGCTACTACTACAGTCACCAAGAGCAGACTGCGAGCCACAAAGGTCATTTTGCGCTTTCTGTAATTACAGTAACACACACACACACACACACACACACACACAAATGATACTAGCAAAATTAATTTTAATGGCTCTTATGTTTAACCCCAGGCACATAAAATTTGATTATTTTAATTTATTAGTATAAAAACTACTAAAATGTTTTGCTTTCTTCTTTTCATTTTAATCTTCAAAATCTAGGAGGTAGTTCACACACATAGCACATCAGAACAGACTGGTCACGAGTGGCTTCTAGCGGCCACACTGGACCAGGCCAGCTCTATAAGGGACAGCACACAGCACAGACTGGTCATATAGGACAGAAACAGGTTGATTAAGGAAGACACTCTCACATAGGGATGACATCCCAGCCCACTGTACTCCCCATGCCCACTGGACCCAGAATAATTTCATTTCCCCCACTGGAAGACAGGAGGATTTTCCTCTCCTGGGGGACTGTTCCCTAAGAAAGAATGCTCAGCTGACTTCAGGATCTTCTCCCAGTGGTCCAGAAGGCAATTTTAGTTCTTAAGAATTAAAAAGCATTAACGGGGATTCCAGGACGCCTCAAACACAAGAGATAAAAAGAACCAAATGAGCCGGAGTGACTAGAGCTAGAAAAAAAGGAGGTCAAAGACAAGACACTATTACAAAGTCTTCATTTAAGAGGTCCACCTTCAAATACTACAAACGTTAGAAAGGAGAAAAACTGGTGTGAGAAAATTATCACACACACACAAACAAGCAATTTCCAAAACAATCGTCATAATAATTCACAGGAAAAAGACAAGAAAGAACATCACATCAAAGGACCCATGTAGGAAGTTCCAAGTAGATGGATACTGTTGTCAGGGACCAATGCCTAGGAGCCGTGGGAACTGACACAGCCTTCCTCTGGCCCATGCGCAGAGGTGGACAGAGTGCTCACAAAGGGACTACAGCTGCCTTCCACCCAGATATTTACAGCCTGGAAGTGTCCTACTGTGGAGACATCCCTGGGCCACTAGTGACACCTCCTCACGCTATGTCTGTAAACATGCTGAGGTTCCAGGTTCTCATATAGTTGGTGCTGCTCCATCACAGTGAGCATGGCTCTACCCAATCCCAGATTCTCAGTACATGTGTCTACCTGTCATTTCTTCATTTCCTCAGTCCCCAAGCCATGCATCCCACTCTCTGACATCATTAGAATTAAGGAGAGGACCCAGAAAGCCTCAAGAATGGAAAATGACACATACAAGGACAGGGAAGTAAAGAGCAAGCTGAAGAAGAAGCCAGAGGGCAAGACCTTCGTGTGTCTAAGGAGAAGTTGTCTATCTAGAAATTACACCATTAAAGGATTGGACAAGGGTTTCAGAGAGGGCAAGCCTGGGCTACTGCAAAGACAAAGAGAAAAATAACACTGAAAAATTAACTTAAGGAAATTCTAAGACAAAATGCACAGCTTTTCTAAAGTCCTGAGTATGAATTACTTTCAGAACACAGCAAAATAAGTACCAGGCCACAGTCACACAGAGCTGAGAATCTAGTCACAGAATTTTATAGCAAAGGAGTTACTAGTTCCCATTTTCCTCCCTATAGCCTCTCAGAAGCTATTCGTAACATACCCACTGCCTCCTAGAATCTTTGTTCACCTGTGGCTTGACTTGTCTTTCCATGCCCACAGCCACACACCTTCCAACTGTTCACACATTCAGGGCAGGATGGCTGCTCCCACATCTCTGAACTCCATGTGTCTTCTGCAAAGTTCACCGCAGGCCTCTTTGTCAAAATGACCCCTTGAACTTCCCCAGTGTCGTGGCTAGATTTTTACCTTGACACAAACTAGAGTCATCTGAGAGAAGGAATCTCAGCTGAGAAAACGCTTCATACGGTTGGCCTGTAGGCAGGTCTGCGGGACATGTTCTTGACTGGCGATTGAGCTAGGCGGCTGCGGCCCACTGAGGGCGGCGCCTCCCGGCCCAGGTTACTTTTGGTCATGATGTTTCACCGAAGAACAGAAACCCCAAGTCACCCAGCACTGGCAGTGCATTGTTTTCACCCCAGCCTTTATGTCACCTACTACTGTGTCCCTTCTGAGAGTCCACCCCACACAAGGTCAGGAAAACCATTTCCTGTGACCACCCTGAGTGGCTCTGCCCAGTGCCCAAGTACAGAGACGGTGCCTTTCCTGGAGAGCACCACTGCTCCTGTGACACCTGCCACGCGAGGCGACTAGATGATCTTCATCCTTCAGGACCTCCCACCTTTCCTCACCGTTCTGAGCTTCCTTCCCTCTAATCCACAGTCAGCCCCTCCCCCATGCTCCATTCTATACAAACTCAGTTTCCACACGCCACAACCTCCTCCACCTTGTCTGGGGAATCTCCTTGAATAACCGCGGCACTGCACTTGCATGAAGATATCTATTTATGAGTGGGCTATATCTGAATACAAAATCTGGCTCTTACTAACCCAAGCCAGAACGGCCCCTCAGTAAGCACTGCCTGCACTGAACATAGCATTATATCACAAACCACCCACAGGTCCACACCACATCACGGCTCTACTATCTCCATTGCTTCCCCTCTGTTCTACGTCTTCCTGCTCTGCTCTTTTCCTCTCTGATCCCGTCAGCTTTTCAAACCACGGTGCTGATGCATTCTCTCATGTCCAAGAAAGGGAAATAAAATTAATTTTTGACATTGCAACCATGAAAGACAAGATGGGATTCTAAGGGGGAAAAAATGCGTGGAGGGCAATGACTGCCTAGAGAGCCAGAGGGAGAGGAGAGAAGGAAACAGTGAATAGTGGTGAGAACAACGGAGTTGGCGGGATGGTTAAGAGAGAAGGTGGAGGTGAAGGGATGCAGACAGGCCACCCTGCATGCCTATTGCTCCATGTATGGAAGGACTCGTTAGCCAGCCAGACTTAAGAGGAACCGAACAATACCAGCATGCATAAACGTGGGTCTGTTATTTAAGGCCAGGGTACCTTGGCACATTTTGGTACAGTCTTGCCACGGCCCATATGGATCCCAGGAGAACAGATTACTCCTCTCCTCAATGGGGATGTTGAAGGAATAGTGCACGTCAGGGTTGTATAAATTACCCACACATAACACCTCAATAAAATACAGAGGAACATACAATTAATTTATAAAAGATACACTCTGAACACATTGCTTTTAATCACTGATCATGTTAAGCATTTAGCTAGCCCGCTGATAAGACTCCAGCTGAGCCTCACCGCTGACAACAGGCTGTTACCTGCAGAACGAGCTCAGCTTCCAGCCGGTCAGTGCTATTAATCCTTTCAATCGAGTTGTTTGATCCACTGTATTCAAAAATAGCTCCCTGGATGTTGATTTCTTTCTTTGCCATACTTACAACAAAATTTCCATTCAGGAGAAAGTTCCCGTGGGTGTCGGAGAGTGCTGTAAAACAACAGAATGGCAGCTCATGAATCACAAACGGGATGGAAGTAAGTTCCTTCACTTTCAAGTTCAAACTCTTTTCTGAACCTAAAGAATGGAAACATAAGGCGATGCTAAGGAGACAGACTGCTTCGCTGTGCTGTGGTCTCTGATCTGCGAGTAAGAAAACCAACACAGCAGCCAAATATACCAAGACAGATTCACCCTACCCTCTTGTATGTACCCCAGAGCCCCCTCAGAGGCACAAAACAGGAAGGACCCACAGGAAGAGGAGAAACAGGAGGAACCAGAGTGCCGGCACACAGAGCACCCAACTAATCAGTCATCAATGCAGAATGCAGAGAGCAGCCCATCTGCACTTTATTTAAGCTTAACTTGGAACAAATGTGCAAAGCCTTAACATTTGAAGGCCGGATTTTTAAATTAAGTTAGCCCTTTGACAATTTCATAGATGGATACAGTGAATTCTGGTTACTCTCTCCCCGAATCGCCTCCCTCCTATCCCTAAGCTCTTTCACTCCTCCTGACTACTCCTTTCCCCTGATTCATGACTCTTGGTTTGGTTTTGTGGCCTGTTTCCTTTAACCGGGGCCATCTGGGTGACCTCTGGATTGGAATCCGAACAATACAAACACTAGTGCACCATCCCACGGAAATGTCCACAGTTGTTCATAAAGAGGCTCTTGAATTCCCTGATGCATGTGACGGTTTTCAAAACAGTATCCCTACCTTCCTTTCATAGGTCTTTTTATGATGTTCTTTCCTACTGGAAAGGATTGATACAAACCCTGGTGATGGTTAAAATTATCAACTTGATTGTATCTGGAATCACCTAGAAGGCAAGCTTCCCGAGAGGGGCCATCTGGATTAGGTAAACCATTAGCCAGGCCAGTGAAGGGTCATCTGGATTAGGCTGCTGAGGTTAGGAGTCCACCACACGGAACAGCACCATTCCTGGCCGTTGGTGCAAGCGTACAAAGAAAGGAAAATGCTGGCTGAGCCTACGCAGCCATCACTTGAGCTGCTGTCGCCAGCACCTTCTTTCCACGGTGGACTCGACACGCTTGAAACACGAGCCAAAACAAACTCTTTTCTCTTAGATTTCTTTTGTCAGGGTGGTTAACCACAGCAACGGGAAGAGTGACTGAAACGCCCGTCAGACATGCACATGTGTAGATGTGTAGGACACATTCACAATGTGCTGTGTTTAAACACGGAGTGGCGTGAAGTCCACAGCAGGGCAGCAGTCAAGGAAGGGCCTGTTGATTGCCATGTGGTCCCTCACAAGCCTCAGCATCAGTCTCTAGAGCTAATCTTTCTGCCCTAACAGGCAATTAGCCACAGTCAAATCTGGAAAGTTCGGAGAAGTATGTAAGCAGTACGAGACTGGCCTGTTTACTTTTAATTATCAGCCCCATGGAACACTGTATGCTTTATAATAGTAAAACCCTATATTAACCAAGTGCTTCTCTCTTGAGTTTTACTTGTGTTACAATTTCAGTGGGACCTGGAAAGGAATCTTGAAGAAAATATGTAGTTGGCATCCCGAGAACCTCGCCCAGTTGAAGCAACTTATAGACTAGGCTAAAGAACAAATAAAGTGTGACATTTGTCCTAGGGTACAGAAACGCCTCCGCGTTTCTATCTAAGCAAAATTCTCCAAATCGAAAGACTAAAAAAAAAAAAAAAGCAACAAAAATGTGTTTATACACTACAAGTGCACACAAGGAACATATCCAGCAATATCTCAAAATATGAAATCTGTCATTTATAGAAAAACCTTAAATAAAACTGCATTTAAGTACTTTTGCTACATGGTGAAAAAAACATTTTAGGATAGCTAAAGAGTGCTATAGGGAGCATTAGGGGAAAAAAAAGATAATTTTATTCTGAATATACTGCTCACCAACAATACGGAAAACAAAACCTAAATTTTTTTTTCTGTTATTTCTTTTTTTCCTTCCAAAAGGTTACATTTTGTGCAGTTTAAAGGGCTACATCAATCACAAGACATCCGAGAAATTGCACACAGGCCACACCCCTGCCACTGCTGACTACATATGTTTACCAAGATAGTTGTCGTCTTCCGGTCTTCCAGAGTAGCTGTGCTGCAGGATTTCAATGTTCGTGGCCCCGGCGGGAATCTTCACGACGACGTTGTAACCTGCAATATAGTTGTGCACACTTAAAACTTCACAAAACCCGGATGTTAAACCATCAGCCAGGTAGCTGCAAGACTGGGATGGCACAGCCACACTCAGCATTTTTTTCCAGCATTTGGAAAGGTGACTAAGTGGATTTTGTTGTTTTGTTGTTTTGTTTTCCCCATCTGAAACTGCACCTTACACGTTCTGCAAGACGGAGAGGTAGGCAATTGCCCCAAATGCACAGACCTTGAGGTTCAGCTTCTTCTTACAATCTTAATTGTATTACTGCGAATGATTGTGTTGCGGGGGGAGGGGCTGGGGGGGGGGTGCGTGCAGTGGCCAGAAGAGGATTTCAGGTTCCCCGGAGGTCGAGTTAGGGCAGTTGTAAGCCACCTGACGTGGGAGCTGAGACCTGAACTCGGGTCTTCTGCAGGAGGAGCAAGGACTTCTAGGTCATCTCTTCAGCTCCAACCTTGAGATTCTTAAAAGCCAACATTTCCTATATCTATATTTTTACTACTTCTGAAATTCTGAATGTATAATAGAATGTTTACCTCAGGCCAACACCCTTATGATCCAAGATTTTAAATGCACACACAAATCTAGGGCTATCAGGCTCACTGACAGGATATGTTTATGGAGACTAAGTAGCCACAAGTTTTATTATTGAGAAACAATAATAAAAAACTTAAAAATTTTCTACTTAAGCTTTTAGTTTGGACCTCAAACGAGAATCTCCATATTTATACCCAAATTTTACGTTTCTTTTAAAAGTCTATGAGCATATATTACAAGAAAAGTAAAAAGTTTATTGGAGTGGAATGAAAGTAATATCTCCAGTTTATAGGACACGATTCTGCAATATTAGCATTTCTTGGAAAGGAAACACAGTATAAAATGCACATTAAATAAGAAAAAGGGAGCTTTTCCTGGCACTAATGATATTCACCTAGCCAGAAAATCCTTCAGGCAGAGCACAGAATTCAGTGTGCTCTATAGATATCACTCTGGGTTTCTTTCTTTTATTTTTTCCTTAAAAAAAAAAAATTAATTCCTTCAATTTAGTGCATGAATAAGAGTTGTAATTTTTCTTACATGTTAAATTTGAAAATGCTTCTCCAAAACATGATCACATTCATTTAAAGATGAGTGTGCCAGATTGCCTGTAGGCCTGACTTATCTCTTCAAGGTGTCATAACTTAACATAAAGATAACAGTTTGACTGCTCTGTATCTGACAGGTGGTAATCTCCAAAATTAATTTTAACCCAGACAACTCTCACTATCCAACAGCCTCACCAACTTCTCCTACCGTTCTCCACCACCTCCATCAAAGCAAACCTACACACACACACACACACACACACACACACACACACACACACACACACACACCCCACACACACAAAGGTGCCAGGATGAAGGCAGCCACCAGGGGGCAGAAGTGGTAAATGTTATCCCCACCAGATTAAAAATATAAAAATTAGGTCTTGTGTTATACCTTGAATCAAATAATCACCTTCAGATCATGAAATCGACCGGATGAACTTTTTTTTTTTAATGTTGAAAACAACACTGCAAGAAGTAAGTTTTTACTGTAGAAGAAAAGTTTTACGGGTCCGCTTGCATCTTCATTAAAGGAATGAATATTTTCCCAGAAAATTTTAGAGTAGAAAATGTCTGAGGCAGTCTTAAAATTTGAAATACAATTGAAATCATGGCCCAGTATCCACTGGAACTATAATGTGCGTGTTACTTGGGAAACCAAAGGAGGCACAATTATGAACCAACATTTAAGTTAAAATATTCACCCTTTACCCTCAATCCACATTTTCAGTAGAGTATTAAAACCAGACACAACACATAGGACAGGAATCTCCTCACAAGAATGAATGGATGAATGAATGAAGTGTTCAAATGTTAAAAGTAATTAAAAGCGAGTTTCCAAGAAAAAGTCAGAAGTGCACACATTTTAATTTGCAGGAACACCATTAAAAAAGGTCTCCAAAACCTGAAACACATTCACACACTATGGTCAAACATCACTGGATTTACTGCTTGATTTTCATTAATGCATCTGATGTTTTTGTTGTTGTTTGTTAAAAATTAGACTTTGGGTTGGGATGGTCTCAGTTGGTACAGAGTTTGCCAGACATTCAAGAAGCTCTGAACTCGGCCCCGGCACAGCAAAATCGGGCATGGTGCACACCTTTAGTCTCAGCACTTGAGACGTCAAGGTTGGAAGATCATAACTGCCAGGCCAGTCTGGGACACATTGAACCTCTTTTCAAAAACAAAGGCAACAACACATAGGATCAGGTTTAGGCAAGCAAGTTCATTAAGTCAAATAACACACCTGGATCAAGAGTTAGTTTCTTCACCCTTGGCCATTCCTCGTTGACGATCACTTGGGCCTGACACACACACAGCGCACAGGCTGAAATGTTACAACCCTGCCCGCCCCCATCCCACAGCCGAGCACTACCTCAGCTCAGAGGGAAAGCTGGAGCAAGCACGCACAGCTTACCATAGTGGGCACTGTTGAAAACCCCCGCCAGGGTCTGGCACGAAGAATTATCTCCACCACACACTCCACATTTGTCTCTCTTGGCCTTGGAGTTCAACACATGATCGCAGCCAGCTTGCTTCAAGACACAATCATCGTGATTCAGATCACCAAAGTGACTAGTTACGTGCACGGTGCTTTAAAGTACGCCAGGCTCTCTTCAAAGGGTTATTTCCACTAGCAGGACAACAAGAGCCTCCCTGACTAGCCGCTGAGCCAGGAAGATATTTCATATCATAAGGAAATATCATAAGGAAGATATTTCCATAACGAAGGTTTATCTATGTATTTTATGAAAGTCAAATGCATCTAGATGTTCTGACCACCTCTGTCATCTTTTGTTTCATTTCTTTTGCCTAGGTTGCTTGTTTAAATATAGCGTACAGTTTTGGGGCCACTGAATGATCTTTTTGTACTACTCAAGCTATTTCCCAAAGGTAGTAAGTTCAGTTTCTTTGAGCATCTCCTAAGCTCTCTGAGTTCAGGCTATTATCACTTAGGTGACATATACATGTGTACAGTGAGATGAAACCAGCCATATTAAGTTCCCTACCAACCAAAGACATGGCTTCACATCGGTGCATTTACTGTCTAGACTAGCTGTTCCCAACCTGTGCTTCGTGACCCCATTAGGTGTCAAACAACCCTTTCATAGGGGTCGCCTAAGACGATCGGAAAACACAGACATTTACAGTACTATTCATAACGGTAGCAAAGGTACAGTTATGAAGTAGCAACGAGAATAATTTCGCGGCTGGGGTCACCACAGCATGAGGAACTGGTTTAGAGGGCTGCAGCATCAGGAAGTTTGAGAACCGCTGCTGCAGTTGGCAATCTTCCACTGCTCAGACTCCACCTGCATGCTCAAGATCCCCAACCATTGCAGCTTTGGGTTTCCACGCACAGTCCACCTGCCTCCCGTCTTCTAGTCAAGCTCATTCCAAAGAGCGTTGAAGCACCAAAGTGGACTGCACCGCTTCTTCCACTGCAAATCCGTGTGTGAATCCCTCTCGAGAGTTCAGAGGGAAAGCGCACTCCAAATATTTTCCTGTCCCTCATTCCAGCCCTGCACACTTACTTCCTCGCATGGCTAAACTCTTCTCTTTGAGGTGAACAGTACCTGACATCTAGCCACTGCTCCATCCCTGCCGGCTCAACATAAGGAGAAACGAGAGTCCAGCGCTACGGACAGGGAGGGGATGTGGGGGACATGCCATCGTAGGAGGTCACATCTGAAGTAGTACAAGTGCTTTTCTACCCTCTACTCCATTTTCCCCCTATTTTTTTTTTTTAAAGAAGCTGACCTCGTCTTCATGCCAATTCTAAATACAACTGATGAAACAAAATCAGCCATTAAGAATGACGCCCAGCCTGTTTTTATTTTGTTTCTGGGGGGCAGGATCCAGCTGTCTAGACTTGGCTGGCCCATCACAGCCTCCTGGATCCTGGGATACAGGTGTATACCACTGTGACACAAAGAACTGCTTTTTACCAAAGCTAGCCATAGGCCTAGAGATAGCGTGATATCAAAGGTTGCACAAGAACAAACTCTCAACAGAGATAACGTTGCTACCAAAGCAGAGGAGACACATTGTCCTAAAATAGAAGCCCAAGGTTACTTACCCGACAAAGGCCCTGAACACAGATGTCATTAGTCTCAGTCCCACAGGGGGTGCCGTCAGCAACTCTGTCCCTCAGCTGGTAGAAGCTGGTGGTCCCAGCCACCCGGCAGTAGAGTTTACAGCGATCTTTTATGGCAACTGCGAAAGAGAAGAGTCACGTTTTGGGTGCGGAACGGTGAGGTTCTGCGTTTCTATGCGGCAAAAAGTTTTCGTATGGGAGCACTGGCAGTACTTACTCCCACTGTACTTCGGAAGCCACCTCACGTTAGGGGGGAGGCCGTTGATGTTGAAATGTTTACCATCAAAGTCAGAGCATTGCTTTTCTCGGAAGTCTCCCTTGCCTTTTGGACATGAATCAGTGTTACATGATCGAAATTTCATCCTGCGGCCCACACAGTACCTTCCTCCGTTTCTTGGCCTAGTCAAATTCATTACATTTTAAAGCGCATCAGTAAGACATTGCTGTTGTCACCTATTTCTACAACTGTCCCATCCTCTTCCAGGACCAGAAAGGCCACTGACGTTTTTCCAACACTTAAAGTAGAAACATGCAGCAGGGTTTTAAGCAGTTCGCTGGCACATGAGTCATAAAAATAGCACGTCCCCCCCTTAGACAGACCTGAGACCTGGACACCAGAAATGAGTCTCAGTTCGAACAAGATTAGCAGGAACTAATGGTGACACATTGCTTTACAGCTGAAACTAACACCAAAACTAAAAACAATAATAATGTCTAGTGAGGTACAGACAACAAAGAGAAACACAGCCCTCGTTGTCATGTCTCAGTGGGTGTACATATATATGAATATATATATCCTTATCGCTATTTCAATTTTTTTTCTTGGAGATAAACTCCAGAAGTTTTGAGGATAAAATTGGTGTATAATTTACCTAGCCCCAAATTCCAATGAACCGTAAGATTTATTCACAGTGTGTTATATTCCTGAGCATTAAAAATGCTCAGTGATACAGCTGCTCAGAGTGTCCCCCAGCTCATGAATTACTACATGTAAAATGGAAATATTTAAACTCTTCTGGGATCTCAGCATGCTCTAGAGTTGGGTGAAGAGAGACGCTTCGGCACTTACTCGGCTAAGACAGTGACATCCACAACAGAAGCAGAGGAGGGAAAGGAGGCAGGTCAGATTACAGAACAATATAAAGCTAGTAACTAATGACATATCTGAGCAAGAGAGCCAAACACAAGAGGACCATCTAGGGTGTTTCACTTGAAACACAGTAAGATGAAGACGCCATTACAGAATCACCCTCACGTGAACTTCTTAAATTCACACTGGAGGAGAAAACAGTGTATGAACAAAATAGCTGTCTCAGCTCAAATTATAAAATTTAATCTATACAATTCAAGTCCGAATCTACAAAGGCAGAAAGCAGGACAGCTTAAAGCATTCCAGAAGGACTTTGAATCTCTGAAACTTGCAGACTGACCTCCAGCTTTAGAAGTGAGTGAAACTGACTTTTACCTTCAGGCCCTTGGGAGATAACCTTAATTTACAGAGAACAAAAGGACATACTCGGGACGATCACAGAGCCTGGTCGTGCTTCTGATTCCACCTCCACACGTTCTTGAGCAAGAGCTGTAGGGTCCCCACGGCCCCCATTCGCCGTCCACAGGACGGGCTTCCACGTCCCTCGTCACACATAGCCCGCGGTGGCAGTGCTGTAAACACAGTAAGCACACAAGGAGAAACGGCTTGTGTGCATCTAGTTAGAACTCCACAGTGCCTACAAGAGCAGCATACGGATAAGCTAGAGAAGATCTCATGCAGAGCAAGCATCAATTCAGAAGTGAGGTTACACTGAATACCAGCTTAGAGGAAATAATCTCCGACTACTGAGTACCTGCGGTTGCTGGAATGAAAAAAGAATGTGATATTTCTCTTGCTTTTGAACTTTAGATTTTCATTGGAGAGGAAAGGAATACTCAGGATTAAAATAAAAATTGGCATCCTATTCTTTTTTATTCCTTTTTGGTTTTTTTCAAGATAGGCTTTCTCTGTGTAGCCTCAGCTTTCCTGGACTTGTTTTGTAGCCCAGGCTGGCCTCGAACTCACAAAGATCTGCCTGCCTCTGCCTCCCAGAGTGCTGGGATTACAGGTGTGTGCCACCATGCCCATCTGGCATCTATTCATACCAGCTTCGAAAGCAGTGTTTTTCATAATGCAGTGGTCATCATAATTGTTGCATGTAATCACACACACACACACACACGCACTCACGCACGCACACCAAACATATGAATAAACCTGACTGAGGAGATAAAAGATTTCTATGATAAAAACTGCCAAGATTTTTTAAAAAATGAAGTCAAACATGGCGCTAGAGAATGGAAAGACCTTCCATGTCACTGGATTGGCAGAATGAAGAGCACGAAAAATAGCTATGTTGCCAAAAAAAAATAACCTACATATTTAGTAGAACTCCCATCAAAAGTCATATAACATTTTCTACAGAACCAGAGAAGAACAACCAAAGAATTCATCAGGAACTGCCAGAGATCACAACCATTGGAAGCAAGCCCGAGAAAGAACAAAGCTGGAGGCCTCACACCGCCTCATCTCCAATCACACCCCAGCGTGCTTCACTTGCAGCTGAAACATATGACCTCCAGCGAATTGAGAAAACAGTTTAGCACACCAATTACGTTCAACTACAGTTTAAGGAAGAGAATTCATGCAAGAAAACTTCTGCGTACTTCAGAGGGGGCAGGCTGACGTGCAAGCATTGAAGGTCTGTATTTATTTGAATAATAAAAGTACAATATTTATGTCCAAGTAATTACTTCTGTAACTGTATATAACATAAGACCTTTCTCCTGGTTAAAAGCAGTTAAAATTAATTCAGCCGACAGTATACTGCGTCCAGCAAGAGCAGCAACAAGATTGGCTCGACTAACTGAACAACAGTTGACCTCACATTCTGGAAAATGGTGCCAGGCAGGGCAGATGCTCACTCCAGAAGCTCTGGGTGCAAGACTCACCCTTCGAGGAAACCTACCATCCCAGGGCCGCAGCTCGTCCCGTCCGCCAGCGGCATGTGCTGGGTGCGGCAGCCCTTGTGGACGCCTTCCGCGCTGGTGCACCACAGGCGCCGACACTGTTTCTGCAGAGGGACAACATGAAGGCGAGCCGCCAGAGTGGGTGTCAACACACAGACAGGCCACTGTGACCCGTCCCCTGGCTCACGGCCGAAGCTAGACATAATCTGCACATGTCAAGTTCTCTCAGAGTTTCATCTACACGAAGGGCAGCATTTACCTTGAAAACAATCTGAAACTTTACTAGTATATTAAACAATGAGAGGAATGAGTCAAAGTGGAAATATTCAGTTATATGAACAAGCTTCCTTTCTTTGCAGGACATTTTTCTGAAGGGCTTTTTGTTTTGTTTTGTTTTGTTTTGTTTTTTTGACACAGAGTTTCTCTGTGTAACCTTGGCTGTCCTGGACTAATTTCATAGTTCAGGCTGGCCTTGAACTCACAGAGATCCTCCTGCCTCTGCCTCCTGAATGTTGGGACCAAAGGCATACACGAGCAGCTCCTGACCCTGAGGGATTTTTGTTGTTGAGCTTTATTCACAGGTCCGCTGCCTGGTGCAATGTCACTGTGAAAAGTCCCAGTGTTTCCTAGTCTGTGAAGTGTGGTGGGTACAAACGATTTCTTAACAAGAAAGAAAGCTGCAGAGTCATGAGAGCTGTCAGAAGACATTCCCCCCCCCCCCACGCCCCCGGAGTCTATTAACTGTCTAAATCAGTTCAGAAGAAATGAATCCATTTGGTGAAATGCTATGGTAAATGTTTCCTGTTTTGTTGTGGATACTTAAGCTTATTGAGATTTGCACACGCCTGCAATCCCAGCACTCAGGGAGACAGAGGCAAGCGGATCTCTCTGAGTTCAAGCCTAACTTGGTCAACAAAGTAAGTCCAGGACAGCCAAGGCTGCACAGAGAAACGCTGTCTCAAAAAAAAAAAATCAAAACAAACAAACAAACAAGAAATACAAATAAAAGATCGGCATCGATGACTCCAAGGTCTGAAGGGTTTTAGTCACTCTGTGGGCTGAGCTTAACAGTTCTGTTTTTTGGCTGTGAAGTGGCCTCCACTGATCCACTCAGAAAACGTCTACTGTGTGGTAGACTCCACGTCAGTGGTTCTCAGCCTTCCTAATGCTGTGACCCCCTTAAATGCAGTTCCTCACCTTGCAGGGGCCCACAACCATAAAACTATTTCATTGCTCCTTCATAACTGTAACTTTGCCACTGCTGTGAATCATAACGTAAACACCTGATGTGCAGACTATTCCGGGGTCACCACCCACAGGTTAAGAAATGCCCCTCCATGTGGTGACCCGGAACTGCTCACTGGGGGATGCAGGTGGGCGATCCCGTATCTGAAACTACTGAAGTCAGAAGTTCTCAGACTTTAATTTGTTTATACCTTGGGAATTTTTTTTTCATATGACTAGTGAGTTATCCTGGCACTGAGATCCAAGCTCAAGGACAAAACCCACTTGTGTCTTATAGACACTGTATACATGCAGAACTGGGGGCAACTATTCCAGTCATTTTCACATGAGGTCACACGGGAAGTTTTCATCTGCATGATCACACTGGCATTCAGAAAGTTTCAGATTGGGAGCATTTCAGATTTGGGATATTCAGACTGCAGGCTCTCAACACATGTACATTTATTTAAGCAAATCGAGTCTGTATTCCTGGCCTCAGAGGTCCTAATACTTCATTAGGGTAGAAGCAGCTTGACACATTCATGCAGAGGACTGAAGAAAATGTAATGTCGGTTTTTCGTAGAAAAACAAGGCATGCATTCACCATAGCACTGACACTATTTGTAAATCAAATCATAACCTTACACCCACATCAGAGAAAAAGCATGATGGCCGATCTGACCTAAGTGTTGTGGTGAGTTATTTCCATGGAAAGTGAAAGTGTGTGACCTGGGAAAAATTTCCAAAGTAAATTGTGAAGAATACTTTTATTAAACCTGAGTGTATGCACAAAGACAATTCCTTTGCATTTACATCTGTGTGACAGGCGTGTAAGGCTGTGGAGGTGGCTCGCTGGTGAAGAGTGAGTACTGCTTTTATAGTGGACCTGCGCTCAGTTCCCAGAACCCACACCAAGCTGTTCATCACCTCCTGTAGCTCCAGCGTCAGAGCATCTAACCTCTTCTTCTGGCCTCTGTGGGCTCTGAACTTGCATATGCATAACCCACACCACGCACACAAACACATAGTTAAAAATAAAACAAATCTCTTAAAAGGCATGTACTCTATCATACTTATGAGGCCCTTGAAAACAACCCAGCACTAAAGAACCAAGTAAGTATTTCAGTATCTTTAAATTTTATATTACATAGCTATGCTGCGACTATACCTTCCAAATAGGAATTCATTACAGGAATCTGTCGGCATGAACAATGACAATTTAGAAGTATTGAATACATAGTAAATCCTCTATTACTTTTGGTTTCTCGTTATTTTAAGCCCTCTCTATGAAACACCATTTAATTCCCCTTTCACTCAAGAATAAACGTGTACTTTGGAATACATTCTTACTATAACTTTCAGGTAGTTTTCCAAGCAAAAAGGGAGAGTTATTCTTACCAAATAGGGACACACTTGTGATCCAGGACCAAACATTAGCTCACACTGTCTGTTCCCATCATACACTGAGCCAGGAAGCTGTGGAGACAGGTCATATATTCTCCCATTTGGTTTGTCAAGAAGGCATTCTCCATGGCCAGTGCTGAGCCGAAGACAGAAGATATGACAGTCTGAATACACTTGCATACATGACTGTCTCCACCAGATTTCTGCAGTTACTCTCAAAGATAATGTTCCCAGCTTCCCATTATTTAAGAAACGATCTCTAGCCACACCAGCAAAGCGACATTCTTGTACAATAACGATAGCATCGGTTTTGCAGAGGAGTTCTAGGTGTGCCTGTCTACAGTGGCTCCCCGCTCATACCTGGAAGCTATGGCAGCATGAGGAGTGGGATAAGAATGGAGCTCAATGGCAGAGCTTCTACACAACGTGTGTATGAAGCAGGACTCCATCCCCAGCCCTGCAAACAAGAGCTGTTGAAGGGCAAGCTATCAAAATATAATTAGCATCACACTTTCAGTGCCCTTTAGCCTGAAGTGTGTTGTCCAAACTGTCAAAATGCAAAAATAAGGGCACGCTCTTGTTTCTGCATTTCAAAAACCTAATGCGTCTCCACTTTAAGAGGCTTCTCAGGGTGTAAGTGAAGCAAGGTAAAGATCCCTGCCTCCTGGGGCTTGCTCACACTTGTGTGCTTTCATGTTCCAGGACTCATCTTCGTACACTGAGAAGGGTGATACTGATCTCACAGCTTGCTATTAGAATACAGTCAAATGCTGCCCAATGACGCTTTCGTCAACGACGCGTCAAATGTAAGGCAGAGGCTCATTTAGGAGTACCTATACCAAAGCATGGTTCTATTTCTTTCCATCAGTTTCACCAAGATGGGCAACTACAAAATACTCATGATGTCACGTTGAGAATGTAAACTATAAAAGATATTAAAAGGAACTGGATTTGTGCGCAGATACTTCATGGAATGAGCTTGATAACTCTTAGTGACCGTGGCAGAAGCACAATTTCGATGAGAGAGAGAGACTGGGAAGCAAAGGAAACTAGCAGAAGGTAAAGACAGAAGGCTGGGGAAGCCAGACCTGCCTAGTCTCAAAACTACGCCCTCAAAAGGGTGAGTCGTCGGGTTTCAGGCTCCATCCCTGTGGCTGCAGAGCAGATTTCATTTTCTCCAACTGTTTTCGCTTGAGAGAGCATCTGAAACTCCTGCTACCCAACCGCCTCTCTCAAAACATTGCTTAGTAACATCTGAAAAGCTAAAAGACGTGTGGGGATGTTCTGATTGCCATTAATATACTCCATAAACAGTTTAAACACAAGAAAATGTCCAACTTGTTTTAAAAAGAAACATGCCTGAACTATAACACAAAATTTTAAGTGCAGTGAAATTATAGATATATATGAGAGCATAAAGAACTTTAAAAGGGATATCTATGATATATATATATATGATATATATGTTTTATATATATATATGATATATATATATATAATATATATATATCATATATATAACATCCAGACTTACTCTAGAAACTCCGTTATATGCTTCTGACTACATGCTGACCAGGTCCAAGGACTTGTGTGGTAATTGAGAGTTGGGGCCATTACATGATACTGATGTTTAATCCCAGCTTCTTTACATTTAAAACTGTCGTCATGTGGAACGTTAAACCTGCAAGGCAAACAAACACTGCAGACTAAGAAATGAACGCGTTAGTAACAATTCCCTTGCGTTCCTACAACTGTTACGGTATAAAGTGCGATGAGCCTGGTCGCATTGGGTTTTGTACCCTGGGTCTTTACAGAAGGTGACACGTCACGTCCACGGTCACGGTTTCTTAGAAGTGCTAGATTTTTGTTTAGTCCTCACATATTGCTTATTTGTCATCAAGGTCTAAACAATGAAAGTGTTTGGAGTCTGCCTCATCTCCTCAGGACACGAGCATAACAACCGCATAAGAACTCCTTCGTGTCTCAACTTGGACATCTAGGAGGTGGCGGCGAACGTGATAGGTAATTGTAGGCCATTGACTAGTGCTGTGGTATGCAAAGACTTTAATCCTCATCTCAGCATCATTCTACATACCAACGACGTATCAGCAGAAGCCTGGGACTTCTGGCCCCTCATCAGTAACAATCAACGGACATGAATAACGAAAAGACGCCCCCAGGGCACCCAAATATTGACAAGGAGAGCAACAGGGAAAGAATTAGCAGGGCAGCAGATGACAGGGTGCCAGGCATCACAGATTCCAACTCTTTAGCTGCCTTTGAGAAGCCCCGAGGCTCCTCAAAGAGGAGGCCGCTGTCTAGCAAACACAACACTTCCTTGCACAGCGTACGGACTGGCATCCTTGAACACACTCTGCGGTGTGGTGACTGCCATCTTCACCTGCATGGAACGTACTGGCTAGCAGTGTTAGGAGCCAGCAAAACCGTCCCTGAGGTACTGCCGCAATACCTCAGCAATCTCCTCTACTCTGCCTCATCTCCTTTCCCCCTTTATATACCACTGTTCGTGACCATGAGCTAGACAATAAAAGGGAACTGAGGGGGTGCCTTCTGAGATAGCCCATTCCAAATTACTGTCTACAGATAGTCTAACGTCATGAACAAAATGTGCTCAGGCTAAGAGGCCATCTCTCCTAGCAGTAAATAAGGAATATAGCGGCCTACCCCGTGGCTACATTCAGAATTACTTCATAGAAGGTGAGTTCGTAGGACTTTGAAACTTTTCATGAAGGCTCTGAGCACATCAGGGAAAATCATGGCCTCCATTCTTAGAGCACAGAACACCCACAGGGTTTTCATAAGGCAGGAATAAGAGAACTCCAAATAGTTGTGGGAGAGTTCTAAAAAGAATCTTTTGATGAATAAAAAAAACCCCATGGACCATGCCCTAGGCTAGGGCTTTGAGCAAAAATACCATGACAAGCGCTGGTTTTTCAAGTCTTAATGGAGAGTTCTCCTGAACCAGGAGACCCTGCTGGCCCTCCCAAACAATGACAGAGGGCAGTACCTGACTATATATAGGATAACAAAAAATAAAGGCCAGAGGCCCTTGTCATGTAATCCAGTATAGTAATTGAAATAAAAGAATTTCCAAGTTCTAGTTCGTTGATTAGTCTGCTGGTCTGACCTACCAAATCACAAAAGACCAAAGTCAGCCTTTCAAGGATCAAGGATACAGTAGTTGATGGAGAGACACAGGTGCTTCTGGCTGAATGACTGCAAGTGGAGAGCGCATTCCTTCTTTAAGTCAGGGAAGGTACTTACACGTGCCCAAGCTCGTGGGCGATGGTGAAGGCGGCACTCAGCCCGTTCTCTTCACTAATGGAGCAGCTCCGCAAAGGATCGCACAGGGTGCCTAACTCCGCTAAGCCTAAAAAAAACCGCACACACGTAAGTCATCAAAATGGGAAGTGCCACCAAAATCAGAATGTGAAACTGAATGTAAAGCACTCACTGGTGGTGGAATTACGACTTGAAAATAAATGCAGAATTGTCTATTAATAGTGAACAAATATTTAAAGCTGAAAGATAAAAGAACAGACTGAACAGTTTGCATTGAAAAAAAATTTTTTTCTGTAAACTTTTGGACTCTCTCATGCAAGAAGATAATAAAAATAACAGGGCGAGTAAGTGATCTTCTGCTAACACATAGAATACGGGAGCACAGAACTGTCTGGCGTGGGTGATACGCAAGGCAGAGAGTTCCAGTCGGTAGGCAGCCGCCAGGGTGCAACCTTAACTTTTAAAGTTTGGAGTTTACAGATACTCAAATAGCACAGGTAAAGTGTAAGTGGTGTTTGCCTATGACAGATGCCAGCTAAGACAAGTCATAGCTGGCATGGAAGGGTTGCTGCAAGTGCTCAGGAGTCCCCAGCTTTCGGGGCAGCAGCGCGTGGCACTGTGTCACAGAATCTTCTCTCTCCCATACAAAGAGCGGCATGCAAACACACACATGCTGCGGAAAGAACTAATGACCACGCGGTGGCCGGTCCCACTAACACATATACAACCCAGTCCCTGCACCGAGGCTCCGGGATCATTGTGGAAAAGGGATTGGAGAGATTGTTAGGAGCTAGGGAAAAAAAAAAAAAAAGGAATTTTTCATTGAGAATGTTGCCTCCTAGAACTGTCAGGGGGGGCTTTACCCATGTAGTCTCATCAGCACACACAGCTGTGTGAACAAGGCGTGAGCTGTGACTTGTGAACATGCTCATGTGGAAGGAGGAGAGTTCACAGGGCCTCAGCCAATTATTAAAGTTTATACAGAGCAACAGTGAAAACACCACTAAGCTGAGTGAGTCAGACGGGTAGAGTGATAAGATGAAGGCATGATCTGCAGAGTCAAAGACGTAAAGAGATTTGATAGAGGGCGTGGGTCCTAAGGAAAAGAGGGGAATTGCTCAGGGGTTTGCAAATGGAAAAGATGCAAGAAAGCTGCACATACCCTATGGACTAGAGACTTAAACACAAGATAACTACATTTTAAATATTTATTGTAAGACATGGCAATATGTTTAAACCTTGAGGTACAGATGTATTTAAGACATGGAAATGCTAAGTATAAGGGGTTTATAAATTCAATAAATGTATGTTGTCACACATGTCCTAAACCAGAGCTCAGAGCTGTCAGATATTTGCAAGACTTGAAAACCACAAAGGGTTTGATGTGACAGCAATCATTACCGCCTAAAAGCAATTACAGAAAACACATGCTAGAGCAGAAAGTACCATGTTACTTCCAGTTACTTCCTGTGGAAAAGGAACTACCAATGGCTGGTAGAACAATGGAAAAATATGTTCAAGCTCCTTAGAAACCAGCAAAATAAAACTTCATTCCTTTTAGGTTGGCAAAGACTGAGAAAACTAAAGATAACGTCTATTAACAAGAAAAAAAGCCAGGCGTGGTGGCTCATGCGATCCCAGCACTTGGGAGGCAGAGGCAGGTAGATCTCTGGTTCAAGGTCAGCCTGGTCTGCAGAGTGAGTTCCAGGGCTACACAGAGAAGCCCTGTCTTGGGGGAAGGGGGTGGGGAAGAACCAAAATGGATGCTTACATCTTCTACGGCCAAACATGTGAATGTGCCTGATGACTGAGGCATGTTTCTATCTTAATGGCAAAGAGTACAAGACATACATTGGTGAGACCACTTTAAAAGTAATTTTTATGTTATCTACACTAGCTGGACTACAGTACTTCAAGGTTCAAAGTTTTTCAAAATTGGGAATATTTGCATAAAATGCACGAAAGTCCAATCTTTAAAAGTCTTGAATATCTGAAACTTTTTGATGTCACACGGGCCCTTAAAAGGTAGCATTTCAAAATAGAAATGCTCAGTCTGCATCAGCATGGGCAATAACTCAGCGATTCAACAGGATAAAATTAACTAGTCCAACATTACTGACAGGACAGCAGTATTTAAGCGTGCATGAACTGTTACCCAGAAGTGAAGTGGCATAACCGCAGCTACAACGTTCATTAACAATAAGATAAAGCAAACACTCCCATGTTTAGAAAAGCATTTGTGAGTCACATTACTACTTTTCAAAAGTTGAAAAAAAATTGATGAAGCTACGATTCTTGGTGCTGGTTACCTCTTCAGGAAAGGCAAGGACATACAATGAGGACTGTCTGCTATCGGAGCAACCAAGTCCCAGCTGCAAGGTCTGGTGTCAAGTTCAGGGCTCTACACAACAGCCTTTAAGCTTACATACGGGCCACTGTGTATCATCTCTCACACACTCAGAGAAATACATTAAGTACCACCGCTGTGTGTAGTACTTGGTATTTGGTGACAACTAAATATTAGTTCTTGTTATTTTACAAAATTCAGAGGCAGAATCAAATAAGAAAAAAAACCATTTATTTACTAAGACAACACATAGAGATTATAAAAAAATGACAAAAGGGAAACTTGTAGTATAATTTCAAATAATTCACTAAATCATCAATGAGCTATCATTTAATCGATGAAAGAACTCACCTAATGTGTCGCATTTCTCTTTAGCTCCACAAATGTCTTCCCTTAAAATAAAAGATTGTGTTTTGAAACATTTTCAGAAAACACGGTTGCAGCGAGTCAACACAAAAATAAAGCTTTAACCAATCAACCAGCTTCTAACCACAATGTTCATGGCCTGCTCAGAGACTTTACCATTATCAATGCCTCACTGGTGTGCCTCAGTGGGCAACAGATGCTCAGTGAGGCCACCCTGTGAAGATGAGGTTGCTCAGCCTCACATTTTGCCCCCTTCTGATGACACCAGGTGTGTACGCTGTGGGCACTCTAGAACCTCAGGGCTTACTTTCTGCCTCTGCATCCTCTGGTTCTGTAGCCGCCCGTGGCCCGGACCACCACCCTGCCACATCCTCATTCTGTGTCTCCTCTCACTGCTTTTCCCGCCTATCTTAAATCCTTCACTGTGAGCATCCGCACTTGATGCTGGCAACGGTGCTGGCCAGAACCACAGACTAGGACGGACGGCTTGTAAAAATTAAGACAACCCTGCTTTCACTTCATAGAGTGATATAATAGATTTTTTTTTTTTATTTCAAGGTTCTGGAAGGCTCATCTTTTCTTAGGATTGACCTCAAAGTGAAGGATTTCATCAGTAAAGCATCGAACCAAACAACAAATGCTAACACCCCGTACTGTATTGTTGAAACAACATGTGAATTAATTAGCACTGAATGACGGCATTTATAACAGTGGAAGATGTTCCTAGCAGGAGAGCCTGATAATTATGGCAATCCCAAAAGCAGTGACACACACACACACAGAGATAATAAAAGATGACAGATAGAAACAGAGGAAAGAAGGAATGAGTAAAACTGCCCCGCAGTTCTACATATGTCAATTCGCAAGTATTACTTCTAATGTCTCTAATATGATAGGGATTGTACTTTATTTAGATCATAGCATTACTCATACTGCTGATTTCCCAAGGAATTTCCCACAATTCCCATCAGAGAAGAGTCAAATGTTTTCATTCCAACAGAGTTCTCATGAATCGCTCTCATGTTTTAGTGACAAAGAACCAGTGTAAGCAAAATATATCAGTTCTCATGCAAGAAAGCGTTGAGAGCCCCCTCCACGAGACGGTCTCAAAAGCCATACCTAGTGATGAGAACAGCAGTATCGTGGTGGGAAGGGTGAGCATCATCCAGAACATTCTGAGTCTGTTGCCACAAGCAAAAGTTGCGTAATGTGGTTGCTGCATTAAAACTGATGACTGGTCCTTCCTGGACAAGTAATGGACAGCTCAGTACTATGGCAAACATCTCAGGCCTGTTTTCTTCCCAACTTTGTTAGGATTCACGGCTTATCAAAATGCAGTTTTTTAAGAGTAACATCAGCTTCACTCTTAGTTTTAATTAGATTCATAGTAGCATTATCATAAAAACTGATTCAGGATAAAAAAAAGTAACTGTAAAAAATTAATGTATTTTAAATTCTTCAACATCATGATTATAAATGTAAATGAGTGGATATTTTCATTTTGGATTTTGTAACTGTTGATTCATTGGTTATTTATTTCTCTCCCTATAAAACACTTTTGTCATTCCATTTTATTTCTACCACACAGAGTATTTTTGAGACAGGGTCTAACTGTGTGGAGCTGGGGGGTCCTGTAGACCAGGCTAGCCTTGAACTCACAGAAATCTGCATGCCTCTGCATTTCAGATGCTAGGATTGAAAGCAGACATCACCACACCCAGTTCAAATTATATTCAAAAGATCTGATTTCTAGTAAGACCTCTGTGATCTCAGCTAGTCTCCCCAAAAGCCAACTATAACCCACAGCCTTCACTGTATGCTGCTCCTTACCTGCTCACTGTGAATTACAACTAACTTCACGATCACTATATTTATAAGGTTCCCAATGCTTGAGTCCTTGTAGATTGCCGCGACCTGCAAGTGGACACCAAGAGATTAGATGCTGAGGATGAAAGTTTCCTTTCCACAGCAATGTAGAACAAGCCTAGAGGATCCATTCTCCAGCGCGCACAAACAACAGAGTCTCTCAGGGAGCCTTTATCCAAGCCTGGGCTCTGTCACATCCCTTAGACCTCATCCAAGGTGATTAGTTTATATCAGAATCTCTTGGGTTGAGACATGTACCAGCATCCTTAAAATTTCACAGGGATTAAGTAATGCTAACGTGAAGCTAAGATTGAGAACTCGTGTGTGTGAGGCTACAGTGTTCTCCATTCCCAACTTCACAGTCTCTTCCTACACCATCAAAGAGGCTGCAGAAAAGCTTTACCCAACCAATGCCTCTGCCCCTTTAACTGATCAACCTAGGAGGCCTTTGCAACAGAACCCATTTCTGATGTCTAGGACACCTGCACAGGGGACCACGTCACCTGCAGCATCTCGGGTCACTATTTGGGCACAGTCACCTCTTCTTTCCAGGGGCCATGTTCCATGGCCCACATTAGGAAATGATACACGATGCCAGGTGAGCCGGCCACATCACACTGTCCACAGAGCCACGTGGAAGCATTGCCCACTTCTGTAATATTATATCTTAACACGCCATGTACTGGTGTTTTCTTGAACTAAGCTAGATGTATTTTTATTTCTTAATAAATAGTGTTTGCCCCTGGCATCAACACTTCTTACCTCACAAGTTTCAAAAAGTAATAAATATCATTTCATAAATCGTAATAAATGAGTTAAGAAAAAAAACGTTATAAGCTATATTGTTCATATCCTTAGGAAAAATTCTAGGCAAAACATATTTGACACGAAATGTGAAACATATTACTATCTCCTAGTCATTTACAAACATTTTGAAAATGACCTCTACAGTGCACTATGACAGAAATTCATATATGGCTCAGGTAGAGGCTATCTTATGTACAAAGTTTTTAATAAAATTCCGACCCCTACAAAGCAATTTATTTTAAAAGGATGTTATTCTTTATTGTTCAGGAAGATCTTTTTATTTTTATATTGAAAATGGTGTCATTTCCCATATATAAAGTGAACATGTCCAAAGAATTAAGGCTCTACAAAACACCGAGTTACAACAAGGAAAAAGCGCCATGCATGAAGTGTGCATGTCTATTATATGTGTTTACTACAGGGGGAAAAAAAAACGACACAAAGAATTAAAATCAAAGTTATAAAGTTAACGTAAGTGAACATCTTTACTTGGTAAGTACCTCCAATAATGTTAACTATGCTTCAACAGAGCAGGCTAATGTCCTGACCATCTATTGATGTTTTTTCGTTGCTGTTATTAGGTCTGTGGGAGTGATGTACACAGATGATGTGAGGGAGAGACCTGAAACACAGGGAGGGTTGGGTTCTCTAGCGTCTAGTGGACATTTAAGGCTTGTGAAAAGCAATATGTCATCTAATAGCAAGAAAACAGAAAACATACTGAGGAAAACCACTCTAGCTGCCATCAATTTGGGTTATTTAACAATGCATGTGCAAATATCATCTTAGCCTGATGCTGTCAGCTCGAGAGTAAAGGGCATAGGACAGCAACCAGCAGACTATATCTGCCTGTTCACACACCTATTCCCTTCAGTGTATTAGACGACCATTGTGCTCTGCCTTAGTAACATCAACCCCAAAGCTTGCTTGAGTTATTTTCACAACACAATACTGGACTCTAACAAATGAATTAGATGACACTTGTTATTTATCATTAAACTATTGAAAAAACCAACAAAAATTAGTTGCTCAGGATGGGTAAGATTCAACAAGCTTCTTTCACATTTTGTATATATAACCTATTTAATTTAACTTAGTTATTTTCCCAGCTAAAGGTAGAACTCAACACTAAAACTTCTTATCACATTGAGCATTTCTTTAATAACTTAGATATTTCAAGACATATCACATTTTTTGTCTTCCTCCTAAATTGCTATAATCAGAACATTATTAATAACCTGTGCTTGAAAATGTAGTTGCTGGCTTCTAATAAATTAGATATACAGAGAGACTACTGACTTTTGAAAGTTGATTTTGCACCCTGCTACTTTGCTGAAACTGTTTCTAGAAATTTTAAGGTGGTTTTTGGGGATCTCTTATATGAAATATAATATCATCTCCAAATAAAAATAATTTAATTTCATTTTTATGTTTATCCATTTAAGTTTCTTCTTTTGTTATATTGTGCCAAGCTGTGCTTCCAGAACTGTATTGAAAAGGACCAATAGTAAGGTGTAGGGAGGGATCTCATGAACAAAACTGCATTTGTCAAGGAATTAAGGCCAACAGTCTACAACTGGGATCTCATCGACTAAAAGTTTTCTGTACAGCTAAAGAAACAAACAATCATGATGAAGAAGCCCACAGAATGGGAGAGACTCTTCACCAACTATACATGAGGCAAAAGATTCATATCCAGAATATACAACCCCCCCCCCAAAAGAGTCAAGGGAGAAAATGACCCAATTAATTTAGACCTCAATAACGGTCCTGGGGTCTAAACACTGAGTTCTCAATAGAAAAAAGAAAAAAAATAGCTACAAAATATCTCAAAAACTGTTGATTGTCCTTATCAATTGGAGAAATAAAAATTATAATAACTTTGAGATTTCATCAAAGAATCCTCTGTTTATCTCAAATACAGACCATAGCAGAAAACCACAACTGGACACAACGCCCCAGAAATCAACAGATGGTGGGTAGCGGAGCCCCAGTGGATAACTCTACATCACAGCTCCTGCACTAATTACTTCAGAGAACAAAGCAGAGGAAGGTCAGAAAAGCTGGAAGAGCCTGAATACTGAAAAGTCTGCTGTGAAACAGTCTCTCCTAGAAATGGCAATATAAACAAAGCCAGAACAATATCAGTCTCAACGGACATGCTAAGATGAAAGTGGAGAGTTTTTGTGGGGTCCCACTCCTAGATTAAGAGCTGCAGGCAATTATTGATTACCGCAAGAAACAGAATCAGCCTCTCCCAGGCATGAGCCCATTATAGGCTGGCCAGTGCAAAATAGTCAGCCTTGAAACGATATACACACAAACAACACAAATGGACTCAGAAGGTGCACACACATAAATATAAGTATTTTTATATTAACTATGTTACTTTTATTTTATTACATTTGTATTTTATATCATATTATATATTAAATATAAAAATATGTAAATATAATCAAATAAAAAGATGCTATACACTTGAGAGACTGGAGCACAGGAAGAATTAAAAGGAGAGAAGTTGGGAGGGGTTGGAAAGAGGACAGAAGGGGGAAGTAATGTAACTCTATTTTAATTAGAAACATTTTAAAAATTAAAATAACCTAGAACAACCCCTGCACAGAAGGAGCCCATGGCAGCTCAGTCTTCAAGTGGATTCCCTAGTAAGAGGAACAGGGACTATCTCTGGCATGAACTCAGTGGCTGGCTCTTTGATCACCTTCCCCTGAGGGGGATGCAGCCTTGCCAGGCCACAGAGGAAGACAATGAAGAGAGTCCTGATGAGACCTGATAGACTAGGGTCAGATGGAATAGGAGGAGGACTGGGGAAGGGGCATGAAAGGTGAAGAGGGAGGGAGAGTGGGATTGGGAGGGGATGAGGGAAGGGGCTACAACTGGGATACAAAGCAAATAAATTGTAATTTATAACTAAAAAATTTTAAAAAAGAAGAAACTATGTATGGCTCCTCTTCAGATGGAGACATCTGCTGGATAGAGTGGAAACAGCTCTTTTCTTACATCTTTAGAGCTATTTTGTAAATGGACTTCACAGAGATAAAACACATTGACTAGATTCTGCAGTGGGACCAACTCTTCCACTGTGCCAAGGGTTCAAGCTTTTAAAAAATGTGAGACATTAAATGCTGTGACTAAGAGAGCTTTAGGTTAAATCCAGAGTGTCTGTCGCCCTTTTCCTACATTTCTTTCCAGTTGTAACATTGTTTACAGCCTCTTTAACCAACAACCAAATAGGCATTGGGACATCAAAATGCGCCAACACTCCTATATCTGCACATCAAACCCAGGTGAGCAGAATAAGGACATGCTGCTGGGATTCCTGGTACATTCCTTCACCTCCTCTAGTCACTGTTTCTGAGGTTTCTGAAGTTCTACCGCAGTGGTCTATCATCTAACACTACTGCTGTTACAAAACCTAGTTTTTTCCTTCTGTATCTCCTGTTAGCCAACTTTCCTCACAAATGTCTTTTTCTTGTCACTAACTTTATCCAGTGTGCCACAGAATCGATTCATGATCGTATATGTTAACTGGCATCCTCCATACCATAATTCTCATTAGAACACCTGTAGGACATATCCACATACAGATAAATACACAGCTAAATAACTATTTTGGATTCAGGAGTAAAAAAAAAAAACAAAAAAAAAAAACAAAAAAAAAAACGTATCATCAGTATAACTTATAACCTGTGTCATTTGTTTAAAAAGCTTAAATACATGAATGAGTCCGTAACACAGTTTCAGAAATTTGTTTCATTTAATCTATTTTTATCATATGTACTACATTCGCAAAAATTAGTTCTATTTTAGCTACCTAACGTCACTGAGCGTCCACTTTGTAGACTATAACCTGATATCATTGCAAGAACTTTAGACAACTGTCATAGGTAAGGAAAATGAGAGGATCCTGGAGCTTCAAACCGTTGTATCTTTAACTGGGGAATTCCACCTAAGGAAACTGGCAAGGTCACAAACTGTCTCAGCCAAGTCTTTGCAACAGCACAGATCTCATGAGAGCAGAGGCACTTCCATACATAAAGCACGTCCCTAATAACGGCCGAACCTGCACAGACAAGCGACTGGCTACACTCTGTCACCTAAACCCAGTAAACTGGAGCATGAGTTGGGGTGATTTTTGTGAATTCTCCTGAACAACAAGCCTAACTTCAGGGGTGCTCAGGGATTGGTGACATGGGTGAGCTGAGGCATGCAGAGAGTTAACATGTCTCTTCATGGATACCAGAACCAACCACCACTGTTCAGCCGAGAGCCTAACACAGCTCCGTTCATAATGTGGGTGTCACCTAAGAGATGGTGTGTCTAACTTCCAACTGAGGGACTCTACGTGGTGGGAGTCAGGAACGCACCCTCCACTCTCCTTGAGAGCCAACGGAGGTTTTAACATTCAGATCCAGGGATCCACTCCACAAGGCTGTTCTCTGTCACTAGAGGGCAGAAGCCATTCACTTGAACAGGGCGAGCATTCCTTGTGAGCGGTTGGGGAAGATTCTCAAATAGGAAAGTTGCCAAAGTAACAGATGAAACTCTGGTTTGAACGGGAACATAACTTATGTCTAGATTTCGGAAAAAACATTTTTTTTAAATTATACGTGAAAAACATTAAATGCAACATTTTAGATGATGTAAAAATCCTGTTAATCCGTTGGGACTGACGGGACAGCTCAGCACTTAAGAATTCTCGCTGTCCTCCTAGAGGACACATGCTCAGTCTCCATGTCAGGTAGATTGCGACTACTGCAGGGGATCCCCCTCTTCTGGCCTATGAGGGTACCCGCACACAAACAGCACACACACATACACACACCTAAAAGAATAAACAATAAATTGGATGTTTAAGGAGAGCCCTGTCCCGGTACTCACGATTGACATCAGTGTGAGCACATAGTGCTGCAGATTCTGGCCGTGATGGTGCAGCATCTTAGCATCGGCCGTAACCATGACCTCCACGTATCTGGGGTAGGAGAGGAAGCGCTTGTGCCTGGAATGTAACCGACTCCCTTCACCGTCCAATCTGAATGCCACCGCCACTTCCCTCTTCACGCTAACATCTCCGGTCATGCTGCTGAAGTTGCGAGGGGGCAGAGCGGTTTTCTTCGTTTGGTTTTCTGGAGAGGAGGATGAAGTAACTCAAGGTGAAGACGTGAAACTGGGCGTGATTAATACAGACCACAAAACGGAGCAGCCACAACACTGACTGCGACATCATGTCTCCGGAGCAGCACGAGCAACACTGACTCCAAAGCTTTATTTCAACAGGTCTGGCTACTCAAAAATGTTTATTCACCAATGAGCAGAAAGAAGGTATCAAGAAATTCCTGTTTTCTCAGCTAGGCACACTAGGTTCTTAACTCACTACTAGTATTTAATCTCATCACACAGAAGTTACATTTGTCTAGTGACATTTCATAGAGTATAGGAGAAAAACAAACTTTGACTGCCCAACACATGAAAGCAGCATTAACCTCCCTCCTCCTAAAAAAAAAAATATCATGTCCCAAAAGGCAGCAATTCAAACCAGAAAATCAACTGTTGATATAAAATGTATGACTGTGACATATAACAAAACTGATGATTTTTCATTGTTTGCTTATATAGAAAATTATTAAACACTGTAACTATAGGAACTGCTTTTAGGTACCATGTAAGAAACAGCATTTAAATATTTGATTGTTTGTGCTTATGCAAAAAGTTCATGAATAGCATGGCTGTGTGTGCTATTTCTTTTCTCCTTCATAGTCTCTCTGTCTTCTCCTTTCTACTTTCATGTTCTGTTAATTTTCCTGAAATCGATGGGTGGTTTTATTTTCAACAGAAAAGTAGACCAAAGGAGTCAGGTAAAAAGAAGTTATAACACCCGGGTCATAAGCCAGATAACCAACAATGGAGATTTTTGTGTGCTACAGTCACTAAAATGATTCACTTCATTTAAATATGAATGGAGTCCTGTGAAAGCAGCAGGCAATCAAAGCCATTAGGCCTGGCTTCATGTCTTTTGCTTTACTGTGTCCTTATGTCTGTAAACTGTTCCCTGTTATCCTGTAGGATTTCTCATCCACCGATTATCAGTGAACAACTGTTGCCCTGGAGAAGATCCCAGATAACCTGATCCATATAATCTCTGCCTATCAGGAAAGACGGAAGCTTTGTGTTTAATATGTGGAAGCTTTGTGTTTAATATGTTTGTTCATTTGTTTCCAGGTTATTGGAAACAAACTCACTGAGCATTTATACACGTCACGAATGTTTAGGAATTGAGGCAGTGCGCACAACACCCCATTAAGCTTACATGCCAGAGAAGGGGACTGAAGCACAAACTTAAAAGATAAAATTTTAGGTCCTTTAAATGCTTCGATAATAACACAACCAAACAACAAATTAGTTTATGCCGCCCACCAGGCTCGCTGGCACTTAGAAGTTGGTAATACTGAGCAGGGGCATAACTTCTTTGAAAAGCCACCAGTTAGATGTGCAGCCATCCCAGGAACTGCGATTCATAACTCAGCAACATTCACCAAGTCACGGGAGGTCTTCCCAGCAGGCACAGAGATGAAGGGAATAGACGAGGAGCCCCAGAAATGCACCTCTCTTCTATTACCGAGCAGTTGTCAGCAAGGTGCTCAAGACCACTCAAGTACAAAATGAACTAAAACTCAATTAAAGAGCCAAAAGAAATGGAGGAACTATGAAACCCTTAGAAGGAAACATGGGGACATTTTTCATGACTTCATTGAAGTCACAAAAATGTGACTTCATTGGGTCATTGAATGTGACACTAGAAGCCAAAGGAAGAATGACAAAGCTGGAGAATTATAGGACACATCACACAGAAACCTTCAAAAGGAAGTAGTGAAGCTCACTTCTCACCTCACAAGAGAGAAGGTCCAACAGCCACACCTAAACAAAAAGGCGCAGTGCTTTTTTTTGTGATCCTCAGTACGGATACTGATATGTAGCAATGCATTTCGAGACCTGGCTCCAGAGTGAGTGTTTTCGGCCACAAATGGATGCTGTGAGGCAATGAGGTGTAAAGGGGAAACGGAAGAACACCATAATTTGTCTGCCGTCACATATTTATTATCCAAACGTATCTCAGTTTACTTACTTATGAAATAATCATAAGGAAATGTACAATTATGGAACAATAACTGAACAATTTATTAAAATCTACAAATTCAAATTTCATTAACACATGGGAGGAATGAATCTCGCCGGTACAGCAAGTGAAAGAAGTGAGAAAAGTTAAACATAGCATACTTCTATGTAGGTAAAAATTAAAATTACATATAGGTACAATAATGCTACCTTTGAAAGTCTCTACCCTGCAGGGTATCAAAGCAGAGGCTGAGACCCATAGCCAAACTTTGGGTAGAGTACAAGGAATCTTATGAAAGAAGGGAGAGATAGAAAGACCTGGAGGAGACAGGAGTTCCATAAGGAGAACAAAAAAACAAACAAACAACAACAACAACAAAAAAAACTGGGCACAGGGGTCTTTTCTGAGACTGATACTACAATCAAGGACCATTCATAGATATAACCTAGAACCCCTGTGCAGATGTAGCCCATGGCAGCTCAGTGTCCAAGTCGGTTCCCTAGTAAGGGGAACAGGGCTACATGTCTCTAACATGAACTCAGTGGCTGGCTCTTTGATCACCGCCCCCCGAGGGGGGCAGCCTTACCAGACCACAGAGGAAGACAATGCAGCCATTCCTGATGAGACCTAATAGGCTAGGGTCAGAAGGAAAGGGAGGAGGACCTCCCCTATCAGTGGACTGGGGGAGGGGCATAAGTAGAGAAGAGGGAAAAAGGGTGGGATTGGGAAGGGAAGTGGGAGGGAGCTATAGTTGGGATACAAAGTGAATAAACTTTGTATTTTTAATTAATAAAAATAAATTAATTAATTTTTTTAAAAGTCAAGGAGATCAGAAATTGGAAACAAATATTATTTCTTCAGATGCTGCAAGGAAGAGAGCAGAGTGATGGGGAGAGAAGTGCAGTTACCTTCAAGCCCTCTGTGTTGTGCTGTCGCAAACACTCACAAATACGTAGAACATAATTAAATATCCCACTGTATCAATATGATAGCTGGCATGACTATCATATTCTATAGTTCTGGTAACATTAGCTAAAGCAGTAAGATGATGAAATTAAACACACAGAATGAATATTAAGTAAATAGTTTTCCTACTTTTTTAGAGTTAACACATAAAAACTTCTTCAACTAAAATTCCCCAAAGGCTCAATTTAAAACTCTATAATTGCCCATCCTGAACACAAAAATAAGTAAATAATAGAAGGGAAATAGTCAGAAAGAATGAACTGAGCTTTGGCATGGAAAGATGCCTTTGAAATAGTTAAAAGTAAGAACTTTGGTGGCATTTAAATTTTGATCCCATTATTTGGAAATGCTATTGCCAAAATACACAAATACATTATTAGTGAACTGTTTATAATGGGCCCAAACTATGGACACAACTTTAACACCAATTTCTACCAGCATACGAGGCTGGTAGAAAATTGATTAAATAAGTACTTTAATATCTCAGTGTCTTTCAAATGATGGCAAGTTTATGTTATTATTATAATTTTAAGAGGTAAATGGTATCTACTAATATGACATCTATTAATATTTCACAAGCTAAAACCTACATTCCATTGCCTTTTCTTAGTATTTATCCCCAAGCATTGTGACTAATGATGATGGGGACCTCTAAAAATACCTTACATAAATAGCCATTACTCAAAGCACACTTGCCACCCAGAATAGTGACACATGACTGTAATACCAGCACTTGGGTGAAAGGGCAGAAGTAGCAGGAGTTCAAGGCCATCCTCAGTTGCATACAAATTTGAGACTTGGGTTCTGTAAGACTCAATCCCGAGACGCCAAAGCACATTTGCCAATCTAATCGTATCACCTCCATGCAATGCTTTCCTTTCTATTTCTGTCCTCAAGTCATTGACCAAAACTGAGTCTTGTCTTTTATTAATAGCATATTATAACAGGAAACAAGCTTAGTCCAACACTAATCACAAGATCATCGCTGTTACACTAGCATATAAAATCTTTAACATTTTTTTGTCAGAAATAACAGCCCAGGGCACAGCGTTATAACGCAAAGAGAATATTTAAATGAATAGTTACAAAGGTCGTATATCTCTCAAAATTATCACTATACAATAATATGACGAGAAGCCCATACTTCTGCTTAAACGTCTGACTGCCTCTCCATGCTCAGAGTTTTCAGCTTCTGGTGTCTAGAGATGTCAGCAACAGCTTCCTACTAGCCATAACTCAGTTATCTCTGTATGCCTATCCCTGGGACGTCTGTCACACTCTTACCCTAGGTCCTAGCCTCCTTCTCTGTCACTTACTTTTCAAATGCTCCTTGCGTTACTATTGTTTTAACCTGCACACTACTTTATCTAGCTTCTGAAATTAATATACAACTGCTCTCTTTGAAAAACAGTCATGCTTCTAAATTCATTTAGCTTTTCTCGACCTCGGAACTTTTAGAACGAAGAATATAAAACTATATTTTAAAAGGCCTCCTAAATGGTCTAGCCATTTCACCCTGTCTGTACCTCCATTTATCTTCAAGTCCAATTCTAAAAACAAAAAACAAAAACTACTCCCTCGTTTCATTCTCATTCAAGATGACACCAAGTAGACCTTCGCTAGAATATCTCCCACAGGACAAATTCTAAGTCCTTCTCAATAGCTCACCACCAAGTACCATCACCTCACCAAACTGTGAATTCCCTACCAAGTGAGAACACTGCTGGGCAGCATGTTCTTCTAAGCCCATGGAGAGCAGGGGAAAGCTTAAGATGAAGAAGAGATAATAGAGGAGAAAGACAAAAGACAAAGGGGGCATTGAGACAGGGATAATCTGAGGAATAAGACAGACGAGTTTAGTGGGCTGCATCATCAGCATAAAAAAACATACTAATGCTCTACACAACTGCATCAGCTCAAAGACAGACCCACACTGCCTGAGACACTCCCAGTACCAACCCTAGGGCTGCTGTCTGCGCACAGCCTAATCTGTATTTGACCGAGAGAAAACTATTCCATAATTCTCCAAAACGCACAGCCATTAAG